ATGACTATATGCCATAAATCTAATGTCGCTATTTTGAATCCAATATGGCAACTGCTTCAAAATAACGATATCATTTCTGTAATAATACCTGTAATATGGATACAAAGTGCAAGCCTTTTATGATTTTAATACTACCACCAAGGCAATGTTATTCCAGATTTGATAAGACTCAGAATGGTGATTCATCTGGGTACCTGGGTACACAATAAGCTAACAGACCCAAATATGTTAAGTAGCTGTACCATAAATGACTCACTGCGCCAGGCTTTGTCAGCACTGGTCTGCAACCTATCAAGGAAAATGAAAAACATGAAAAAAATATTGTATGTTGAAGACAAGCTTTTACGTATCTAGTAAGCCGAACTAAAGATCCAGTATTTTTCTGATTAAAAATATGCTGTTTTATGTTCTATAACATTTAAACTTTAACTTTAGTGAAGTTCCTTCGTTTCAAGTTTTCAAATAAAACCGTGCATGTACTTTTTCCCTCTTGATGTTAATACGTAATACGATTTTGCGTGAAAACTTGAGACAAATGATCTGCAATTCTGTTTGAAGCTTAAGACGGCTCTGACGCAGTAAGTTTCAAGCCATTTACAAGGGTTCAGCTGCTTCGAAACTGACACTCCATTTTTCAATCCTTTTGAATGAAATTCATACAGTATGTTCAGAAGATAATTGCCGAGGGTGCTATAAGAGCAGAAATTTTGTTTTATGAAGGGTTGAAGTGCGCACTTTTTCTGTTCAACTTTTTTTAAAGGGATCTAGTGAAAAAATGAAATAGTGGGGTTTTGTTTTAAGCACACTGTGAAAATTTCATTCTGAAACATAAAAACGCAAAGCGTCAAATTCGAAGCGCGTCAACCTCTACAAACCGTATTTTGGACGAATTTTGTCTACTGTTTCGTGCTGCCAACCCAAGCGTTCCGGCGCAATGTACGGACTAGGAAAGAACGTATTCAGATAATTTGGTGGCCCTATTTCATATAATATCGCATAGATAAGTCGTTCTGCAAATAGGTACGCTTAATCACGATCGCTTATACTCCTCGTTTTTAAAGCCGTTTTACTTCCCACGTCAGTGGCGAGGAGGTATTGTAATCGCGAAAAATTTCTAAAATGAGATGTTATGTTTTTTTTAAGTAATATGACATCTACATCACGAAAAACTATATCACTCATCATCAGCTTGGAAATTACCGCTCGGATTTTTATGAAATTTCCACACAGGGTTACTAGTATGCCAAACCTTTGTAGTTTTAGTCCAGTGGCTACGGTGTTATAGGCAAAAAAGAAAAAGTAACAATTGCTGAAACTCCGTTTTTGACATTACAGGGGTTCCTTATCATTGACAGAAAAAAATTATACTGCTTAAAAAGTGGGGGTTAGGGGAATGTGATTCTAAATGTTGCATCTTTGATATCAGCGAAACACGTTCTATTATTAAGGAGCTTCTGATCCCAGTGATTACAGGAAATTTACGTAACGAATAAGGTGCTCACGATTTCAAAAAAATCGGTACCTGCTCTATTTGTTTGACACCAAGAGCCAACAGATCTATCTCCAACTGCCAACAGTAGGGAAGAATGAAATCGGATATCACTCCAGTCAAGTATAGGGGAATTTAGCGTGGAACTTTAAAATTATCGATATGTCAATGAAATATGTTTTTGAGAACGATAATTTGGTAGATTTTATACCTGCATTTTCATTTGAATTTCATGACTCGTGAAATGTACCCATTTCGCCGTTACCTTCAATTTGTGTTTTTCAGTTTGTGATGTTTTTGTGGATATAAGCAGGACATAACTGCCCAAGGTGCTATCAGAGCTTTTTACAAAATTTTGTCTTTGCGCAAGAATTATGGTGGGTTGAAATGCTTACTATTTGTGCTCAACTTCTTGATATTTTAAGAAGATTATAGTGGATAAAGTCGAAAAAGTGGACCGTTAGCACTCTGTGGACTAGCACGCTGCAAAAGTTTCATTTGGAAATAATAAAAAATGAAACTTAAGCTCTGAAGCGCAAATCGGTTTTTGGCCGAAATTCGTCTACTGTTTCGTCCTGCCAGTCCACGGTGCGTTCCGACTAAGAAAAAATGTATTCAAATAATTTGATATCTTTCCTAAAATATATTCAATACCTCAAACTCAAATTCGTTTATTCATATCAGTAAACACAATTATGTTTACAAGGGTCATATGGTACATGGTAACAATTGAACGAAGGTCATAAAAATATCTTATGACGTCAAAATAAGAGGACACAGTTATTTAGTTTTTGCAAAGCACTAAATAGGTAGGCATATACCTGGATTAGGTACATTTCTTGTCTACTGTAATAGGCAGATGGAGACGATGCTACCAGAAATGGATGTGTGCGATCTATAAACAAACCACAAGATTGAACTGCGGTGTCCAATGATTTTTGTATTGCCTTCTTTATTGCCTTACTAGAAAACTCGGTTGGGTATTTGTTGGAGTTTACTAGAACTTTACAGCTTGTTGTCTGCCTGCTTCTACAAACTTCACCAAATCGAGACGCTGTCAACCTTATCCTCCGATGAAGGCGCGACAAGGTACAGTCCTGTGATTTGGTGACTTGTTCGATCTGCAAAATCTCGTCACTTTTTTTGAGTTTTCCAAAAAATTTCCACTTAGCAACCTCCAAATCAATGTAGTTAATGTCAAGTTTTAGACTGAATTCGCCATAGAACTATTGGTTTTCTTTGGAATTACTATCCGAATTGTTAGTTATTTTTATATCACCTTTTCTTGGTCTGAGTTTCTTTTCAAGATTCTTGCGTTTGAGTCTTTGTTCCATCTTAGCGACAAGCGAGGCTGAACTAAGCTCACAACACAAATGTATTTAGACCACATAGACAGGCCGCTGGGTATTGTGGCTCACTACAGCTGCAGCACGTCTTCCATGGTATGACCTCTTCTTGCAATAATTTACTCGTTTACCCCAATGTATTTTGCGATTATAGAGTTGAACTGCTCCACACTATTGTTGACCTCATCATGAATTAAACTCACTGCATTCGTAATAAAAATGGTCGCAGATGACCCTTTATTTTCCATTATCAGACTTGATAAAAAAAGGCACTCAAAAACAATCACACCCTCAAGAGTAAAGCACAACACTTCAACAACACAATATCGACGAACAGTAGTAAGGGGAGAAAAATACTAGATGATCACTTGCTGAGTACCAAAATAAGAGTCGATTTACATTCCAGATCGCTAATCGAATTCCGACTGTTATTATAAAAATTTACCTTGGTATGCACCTGCAGTCATCCTTTCCTCTTTTAAAGTAGCGCTGAATACAGTCCAGGGCCAGCCCACCCTCGTTTCCTTTTCTCTTGTAGTTAGTTTTAACAGTTGATTGGAACCTTGTTTTTAAAAATGTGTCTTTCTATTTTATTTTTCAAGTCTTAGCGATCATTTTGTGCCACCCTGTACTGTGTGCCCATTATATTTTGAGACAATACACCACAAAGTATGACTTATACTGAAAGTACTCCAACAAAAAATGAAATTACTTTACCGTTACATCGGCAACAAAAGCCAGTGAACTATTTTAAATCAGTCTTAAGAGCTTTGGTACAGCAGCGATAAAGAAAATAAAGAATCTTGTCTCCTTACCAATTCTGTCTTACTATTACAGTTTTAAAACATTCTTCCTGCGCTAGCCTGTCGATATCATAAAATTTGCCTTCTTACGGATTAAAATGCCTACTCTGCCAAAATAAGAAGCAGGTAGGCGGATGTAACCTGCAATTGACCAATCGGAGTACCGATAACGAGATAAGGAGTGGTCAAACTTTTCTATAAATACCCGTCATTAGTAAAGTTCAGCTCATTGCATTGCATGTCTTCAACTGTCCAACTGTCCGATTACAGCGAGAACCACTTTGAGAGCATGGAAACTTATAGCAATATGCTGCTGACCGAGGGTGTTTCACCGCTTTCGAACTCAACCGAATCTCCGCCACCGTATAGTGCTGCTGGGCCTGCTGCTGAGCGCGGGGGTGAAAATTACGGTTTTCAAGCTGGAGGAAACGCTTGTACAAGCAACTACCAGGTGCAAAACAACTTTGTGGTGAGTAGATGGAAAATTTATTCTAATTTCATACATAATTAAAATCAGAGGAATAATCAAACTCTGTTACCACTGTAACGAAGAGAAACAAAATAAGTTAGACAATTGTATTTTAACTAGTACTATAGCTTTCGTTTGTCCGTTTTCTGCTATTTGGCAACTTCTCGGCACAAAGTGCTGTTAGCAGAATCGACCACCTAGAACGGTCATATTTCGATGTTTGTATTTTACTTTAAAGATTAGTCAAATATATAAGCATCTTTGAAACTGTGCATCATGGAAATTAGGATATTTGAGCTTGATGGATAAAATTTTACATGCGTCAAAAAATACTTGGAAGATTGAAAAAATCCATACTTAAACTTAAATTTCTGAATAAAGACAGGTGATCAAACCATTGCTTGCTTCCATTGTTATACGTGTATACGCAAAAAATTAAAAAATCAAAGCAGTCTCATAACGATCATTTACAACAAGTTTCCCGCATAAAGATACGTTTTTCTCATACTTTTTGGTACCAGGATATTCTCTCATACCAACTATCCAACCTAGCTTTAAGCTTCAAGACAAAAGGAATTAAAATGTACACGTCAAAAAAATAGTTTAAAGGTTAAAAAAATCTTTATTTGAATCTTAATTTCCAAGCAAAGACGGGTGATCAAACCAGTGCTTGCTTCCATTGTTATACGTGTATACGCAAAAAATTTAAAAAAATCAAACCAGTCTCATAACCATCATTTACAACACGTTTTCCGCATGAAGATATTTTTTTCTTATACATTTTGGTACGATTATATTATCTCATACCAACTATACAACCATTTAGCTTTAAGCTTCCAAGACGAAAGCAATGAAAATGTAGTCATATATATAATAACAATTTTTTGTTTTAGTATCAGGATCTACAAATCAACCAACACCTATCGAAATGTACAAACGACCAACAGCCCAATTTTTCATTTCCGAGCCAGAATGTTCAAGTTGCCATCCAGGGAAAACCGCCCTATAGCATCCAAATTCCCTACGAATACGCTGACAGCCAAGATAAAAGATCGCCAGGTGAGTCACGATAGTGATAAGCAATACCAAATTTTGTTTTAAATACTATGACTAATAACCGACGGTGAGCTACTCGTATATATACAAATTCAAAATGCAGAATATATATGCATATTTTATATTTTTTCCACAAAATTATCATTTAGTTATTGATCGTTTCTAAGAAAATTACTGTGCCATCGATTCTCAAATAGTACTGTTTCAAAAGAATTTATCAAAGTCGGTTGCTGAGATTGCGCGAACAGGCTAACAGGAGTGGCTAGAAGTTTCACAGTACGGTTATCCCAAAGCGCTAAAGAGCATATTGTTCTAAACGAATTAAATGAGGATTTCTGAACATATATTTTTTTTAAAGAAATCGTTAATCAACAGTCAGTTTTTACAAACTTTATAGTAAACAAAGTTCTCTAATCTGTGTTTAGAACACTGGCCTTGAGAACAACAGTACTCAAGTGCGAATATTAACAACAATAAATTCAACAACTCAAGTGACATTTGAGTGTTTTAATTAATTTCTGAATATATGTGCTCTTACACTATTTGGTAGATTATTATATGTTCTTACTGCATCAGTGACATGGTTATTTAATCCTATACTAGCTCTAGCAGGAATCCGGTACAAGTCATTGTTTTTGTTAAATCATTTCATATTAATCTAATTCTAACTGCTCATCTAGTTTACTAAAATTCAGGTCTGTTTACATATTATCCGAGTTCTCAGGTCGGTCATAGTTGAACAAAATTATTAATATTCCATTTTGCGAAACGTGTGCCCCAAGTTTTACCACACTTCCTCCAAATATGTAAAATATGTCTAAGTTGTGACAAGGAAAATGCATTATAAATGTTTGTTTTACTTTTTGTAGTTACGTAGTATCTGTTCAGTACAAAGCAGCTGTCATCGACGTTGTCTTATCCAAAAAATTGTTCTCTTCTATAATTAAACCCAAGCATTTGATGCTTTATTCTTTTTCTATTCTATCGTTATTTATTCTTATACAAAAGTTTTCAATTATTTTATTCTTCTCTTCAAAAATTAGATATTTTTTATCGATGTTGATCTTCAATATATTTGAATACAACCATTTACGGTAAAGAGCAATATCTAAACTTAACTCCTCACCACCCAGAGCCTGCTCATGATTTCCTTATAGAGAACTGCGTGGTCAGCAAAAGTACTCGTAAAATACCTTACATTAAGATTAGCACTTTTTAGATTTAGTTCATATAGAGAGATAAACATTGTCCTAAGATGACCCCTGAGGAACATCATACTTCCTAAATAACGAGTCGCTATTTGTGTCACCCATTTTCACATATTGTTTCCTGTTAAGTAAATGAGTGTCAATCAAATTATACATAGCACCACTATATCCCACATTTTGAACTTATTTAATAATATATTGACATCTGCCACATCAAATGATTTTTTAAAACTGTCAACACCGCTATAACCACTTGCTCTTCATCCAGCGCCCTTAGGATATGATTTACAAAATCAACTGCAACTGAAAGAGTACTACTTTTTTTTATGATCCCATAGTGGTAACTCTCAGCTAATGTATTTTCATTTTTGAACGACAACCTTCTTTTTTTATAATTTTGTCAACAATTTTAGATAGAACACTGATCACAGATATTTGCCTACAATTATTCATCGAGTCTTTATCGCCTGATTTATAAAGTGAAGTAATTTCACTGATTTTAAGCTTAATTATTCATTTTAAATATTTATTTGCCATCATAAACGGGTGCTGAATTTATTTTTAATTTCAGTATGGGTTTATTCTCCTCTTGTTCATCCGTGACGTCTATCAAAACAATGTTATGATGAGAAATATCCATTAACATTATTTACGATGTCTACCTTATCATGAACGAGAACGTTCCCAATCTTCAAACAATTAATAATAACCCCCTCTGTCCAAAAATACATATACTTCTGGCGTTTTATTTTATTGTTTAATCGGTTTTTATTTTTTATCAATTCCGCAACTAAATTCATACTTCAATTATTTCTTTACCTATCCAGAAATTATTCTCACGTATTCTTTCCGACTTGACCTTACACTCTTGAATTATACTAATGAGGTACAGGAAAATAGTAATATTCACTGTTTGTACCTTCTGTTGAACAAGACATTAAAATCAGTTATAGCCTACAGTTTTTATTTCATAATCTACCTATGGCTTATGAATTTTGAGGCTATGTTTCACATTCACTAACAGTAACTTATGATCCAACAGGGCATTTTCCTTAACACTCACATTATAATCTTATTACCACGAACACTGAGAATTCATATATTAAACTGTTTATTTTGCAGTTATTTATTTTAACAAATTTGTATAGTCAAAAGTCACTAGATAATCTTCTAGTAGGTTTATGGTGACACCTCCTAATATTAAATGATTTCTTGGACGCTTAAGGAGGATGGACTCGAGATACGGAAAAAATCATTATTGCTGTACGATGATGGATTGTATGTTACACTAATTTTAACACTTTGTTCACCTAAACCAACACACACCTAGTTTACGATGCCATTGGACACAGAAGAGTAGTCTTTAACTCAAAAAGGCGGTTCTGCAACCACGATTCACAAAGCACTAGTCTTCTTTGAACATACTATATTGCACAAGACCGTTATTATTCCTGATACACTAGCAATTGATTTAAGCAATTTTAAGTCGTTTTCGAGCCTCTTCTAGTCTTCCAACTGCTCCTTAATTTCACCTAACAGAACTTTAGATCGCTCATATTTCCATAGGAAAACGCTTCTATCCCCAATCCCTAGGAATTTGTAGCCTTTTTCATCTTTGAGCAACCTTGCAGCTTTGTACAGTTTAGCATTCGCTTTTGTGAGCTCAGGTTTGGAAGTACTTTATTATCGGTTGCGTAGCTTAAATATTGGGATTGAATTTATTTTTTTATTGAAGAAACTTTTAATTTAGTCATCCTTAAATGCTAATTTGATTGAACTATCCTTTGTATTAATCTTTTTCAATTGAAAAAACAGTGGGCTTTTGGTTTATTGGAACATCATAGTAGCTACCGATCTCGTTTATGATTTCTGGTGGGCTTTCATCTTCTTTACAAGGTACTCCATGAAAGAACAGGTTACAGGTTCTTGACATCTTTTGTTCAACTGTTTTTTAATATCATCTAATTCCTTTTGTAAATTAATTTTGACCTGCTCAGTAAATTTTGTAAGCACTGCGTTGCATCTTTCGTCCATTGCATTCAACTTAGGCGTAGCTTTTTGCTTGTTGCTGATCAATTTGTTTTGCTCTATCTTCAGCACTACACAAGTTACATAACTATTGGTGAGAAGATTTGCTCATGTTCATATAATTTTAGACATTGCCAGACCGGTCATATGCTTCCAAATACTGCATTTGTAACATAACATGTCATCTTGGTCATCAAAGACGGACCTATTGCACAAGCCTTTGGCAGTTGTAGTCGCCAGCTGATTTAACTTATTTAAATCCACCGGTACTGCTTTACCTTGTTATGCACTTGTGTAGACTGGTTTAAGACAGTACTAGAACTCACTTTTCATATTTAATTTCTCGATTTTCTGATAGAAACAACAACTTGATCGAGTAAGAGAAGAAGTAAACAACTCGCACATATCACAGTGTATTCTGAACATTTATTTGCCAATACTAAACCTGAAAATCACCAGCGAGTAGCCAAACTAAAAAGCTTGTTTCTTTCCAGATACAGAAAAGAGTCCTCCACCAGGTCCAATCAGTCCAAAGCCGAACTCAAGCGGTGCTCCAAATACCAAACGAGCCAGAACAGCTTATACTTCATCCCAACTTGTTCAACTGGAGAAAGAGTTCTACACTAACAAGTACCTGTGCCGATCAAGACGTATCCGAATTGCTGAAGACTTGAACCTGACGGAACGTCAGATCAAAATCTGGTTCCAAAACAGAAGGATGAAATATAAAAAGGAACAAAAACAAAGAACGTCCTCTGCTGGATTAGACAACAGGACCTCTCCTACTCTGTCAGGTGCTGCATCAATTGCTAGTTCAAATAGCAAGCCAAGGGTTCATACGGTGAGGCCTGAGCATCATTCGGTCACTGGGAGGCAGGTTGGTCATAGTCAATGCTTGCCACAAACTGTACAGAGAAACCAGTGGGAAGGTAACGTGTTATACAGCAGCCAATGTCAAAGTTTATACCAAAACTTCCAACTAGATCCGAATTATCAATACCATCATCCAGCCAACTGCTATCCTGTGAACTACGAGCAACCTGTGGAGGATAAGCCATTATATCAGCCGTACCTCAACATCAAAACAACTGAGCAGCCGCCAAGTGATAACTATTTTTTGGGACAGAAGAGTGAGTGTTCTATTGGTTGGGACAACCAATATTTATGCAATATAGGTGCCTCTGATAGTCTCACGAGTTTGTAAATTTACTCTACTTCTCCTAAATGCCACACACTTTTTTTTGTTGGTTATTCAAAACGAGAGCAGTAGTCCAAACAAGGTAGCGAATAACTCGCCAACCAAGATTCAATTTTATAAGGACATCTTGCAATGCGACTTTGCAATGCACGGCAGCATGATTCTTCCCGAATGCTTTTGTGCGATTTTTGGCATATTGACCGAATCCAGTAAGAGTTGCACTTGTATATCGACGGGCTACTGCGAAAACCAGATAACTTATATTTTTATACTTCTGAAATATGTAGATCTTGTACGTTATTTTTAAATAAAAAATCAAAGAAAGATATGAAATACTTTTTTATTAACAGGAAGTCTAAAAACAGCAGTAAAACATAATCATAATATTTAGAAAACACATTTTTTGCCCTTGTCTTGTTTTGGGATCAAAATCCTCTGCTGCTGGTTCTGAAATAAGATCCCATGCTTCTTTGGAGGTCGGACGTGATTTTTAATAATAACGATATTTCTTAGGAATAACATTACTTTTACAAAGTTTAAGCTAATCTTGCTTTCCTTTATTGATATTGGTATAATTTTTCTACACGCATCTTTCAATTTGGCTTGACTGTGGAGGTTGTCCTTCTGCTGATGAGTTTTCTAAATCTAAAAAATCTTCAATTCTTCAACGTTATACGGTTTTTTATTCGATCTAGACAATATGGTTATGATAAAAATCGTCAACCAGTCCTGGATTTCATAAATAGGAGCTTCTGCGCCTTTTCAATTGCACTGAGCATAATCTCGACCGCCATTTAGATGTCCCCAGTTTTTAAAAACGTTTTCACTATAGCTTGAATATTTGGATTAATTTGGACCATGTATAGCAAGAGAAAGAGCAATTTTGACTGCGATTTTGACTGATTCTACGATAGTTTGGTGGCATCAGAATATAGCTGATTTATGTAATTGTATACACAGGCGCCAATTTCTAAGCCATTGGATATGTCAATTTGGAATACATATTTTGAATTACAACTCACCAAAACTTATTTATGTGCAATCTTACTTATGACGTTGAAACTCATTAGTATCCTCATCATTAATTTGAACTTGTTGGTGTCCTTGACACTGGGTATAGTCATTGGGTTAAAGTCAAATTGAGCGTCAAATCGAAGGTGGCGGATAGATGAGACTTACACCGATATGCAGCGCAGAAGCGTTTTTGGTTTATTGAAGTCATTTAACGTCTTTGTAAAATATTTTTCGCCTGTTTATAGCTTTATGTATTTTTACTAATTTATGTAATATTAACGTAAGTAGTTATTATTTATACAAATATAATAAACTGACCTTCTTGCAAATTGAATGTTTAAATATACTTTTTCGCCCCTACTCAAGTAAGTCAAGCATCGTGACCAATGCTCATTTCGCATGAATTGACACAACAAAATATCAATTGAAAGTTATCAGAACTTTTCAAAACTCCAGGTACAGAAATTCTAAGAACTTTTAATGACATGACATGATATTCAGAATGACCACAAAAATTAAAAGCGCTGAAACACTGACTGCTCTAAATAATTATTTGTCCAAAGATTATAAAATGCTCAAAAAATACACAAAAACAGAATTAAGCAGTACTTCACATGGATTGATGTCTAAATTTTGGGTACAGAATAATGCTTTGACCTAAGTTATTAGTAGGCTGAAACCATCTTTTGGAGTTCTTCAGAAATCCAGATCCCTACAGCAACCTGAAAATTGTAGAGTGATAAAGAAAACTCTGAAAGACATAGTTTGTTACAGGTTTTCAACACTCTGGTTTTGAAAATTCTCAAAGCCTCTGCGGGCTTGGTTTGATAGTAGCCATGTACAAGAATTTCATCAAAGTCTGACCCGTGTTCCGTGTTTGACCTAAGAGACACTTAATAAATACTGTCAGCCAAAATATTATATAACATTTCATAAATACTTACCTGCGATTTTTTTCCTATACCTCCTTCTATGATTAGGTAATTTCTGGCAGACAACCTGTTATAGTCAAGCGAAAAGGATCCACAGTATAACTTTAGAGTGCAATTTATTTCATATGAAATAATATATAGGAGAAAATAGTAGGAAGGAGAGTGGGGAATTCAAGTCTCGCATTAATTTCTGAATACTCAAGCCAATGTCTTGTGAATAAGAATAGTAGCTACTCATGGTAGTCATAGCTACCTTGCAGCTTGGGGGTAAGAGGCGATTTTTACCAGGCTGCCTCAGAAGGAAGGTTATGCTTTTAGCGCGTGCGTGTGTGTATGGATAAAAATAATTCTATTTCAGGAGGTACATTTTAATAAATGGCATGACGGCTAGGGCTAAGATCTAGACTTAGTCTCAGCCTGGGTCTTGCGAAATTATTGAAGTCTCGGTCTTACTGTTGCAAATTTTGCTAGTCGGGTAAGATAGTCCCATATTACTTTTAATGCGTAATAGCGGTGGCAGAGATGATATAAGTAACGTTAGCAGTGTTTTTGGTCTACCTGCTTTAGCATTACTACTGTTCCAAAAACCGATTAGAATAATATTAATAGGTCTTAGTAATAATAGGTTCTGGCTTGTAAACTTGTATACATATTATAAAGCTTAGCGTTTGTGATTTAGAATAGTAGCTTTTATTCTTAGGATAAATACTTATATGTATTCAGACTACTTGCTAAATAATTATATTTATCTTAGTAACCCGGTGGCGCACGGAACGTATTACGGATAAGCTGCTGAAAATACTTTTAGTTTTAATGGCAAACGTACGGCCGAATCTATGAGGTGTGAAATATGAATATTAGGTATGCAGAATTACCATCAGGGCTGAAGGTATATACTAAGATAAAGAAAAATTGAACTGTATTCTTTACGGTTAAAAACGAAATCGTGCGACGATATGTCAACAGCTTTGTCATATCGAGTGACTTTCCTTCATTCAGGGTGAATTTAGACACTTGTGAAATTTTTGGGTGTGGAACTGGCAACTGGCAAACGACAATTTCAACCCTTATGCATTCACTCAAGCACGCCACGACAAAACATACAAACAACTGCTCTCGATCATGCTAGTATTGATCAGTACATTATAGTAAGACTATGCAGGGTGGCCCATCCATGTGTGGACGGAATATTACACATAAACAAATACATTTGGTAAACTCTACTCATGGGATGTTATTCATGGTATTTGAGGGCACATCTATAAAATATTGGCCATTATACAGGGTGTCCCAATTTCGACCTACATATCAAAGTTATGATTTTTTCAAATGGAATGCCTCCAATTTTATTGCATATTTGGGTACAACAATTCAAAAGAAAAAAATGGAACATACTATGGGGTTTTGGTAATTAGCTACTGTGATGTAAGGTGTTTTGTCCAGAAAAACCGTCCACTTCGGCAACCCCTCAACCCGCCATTTTGAAATTTGTAGTGCTGAGTTTTGTATAAAAAAACTTACACACCTCATCTTGTTTGCTACTTTTTCGAAATTTCATGTTTGCTCATAGAGGGTGGTCAAAAACGCGAATTGTACTTTTTCTTAAAAATTTCAAATGCATCACTCTGTATATTTGTACAAGTTTGAACTAAATTTTTTAAAAGCTTTTTTTGGTATAAGGTTTGATTCAGATAGAATCACTAGATTTTGAGTTATTGAGCTTTTAATAGAACAACACACCAAAATTAGGGAAAAAAGTCACATCATCCATGGATACAAAAGAGAAACAGTGGGCTAGTTCCATATTGCCACTAAGAGTGCAGATTTGACGTGAAAACTAATAACAATCAGAACAGTATAAATCAGCTTCAAGCGTAATAGAGAAAAACAACTCTAATAACAACATAAACAAACAAGTATCGCTACTCAAGGCCTAATCTTCAAAAACTGCCAGAAAATATCCCTACCATGTTGAATACACAGCCGTAGTCATCTCTCAGCATGTGTTCCTTTATGCTCAGAAAAGCATCCTTAATCCTGTCCTTCATATTTTCCGGGGTAGATGGTGGATATCTATAAACCTCTTGCTTAACATAGCCCCATAGGAAGAAGTCTATCGGTGTCATATCTAGTGATCTAGGAGGCCAAGATATAGGCCCATCATGACCGATCCAACGATTGTTGCTCCAGGTATCCAAATAATTACGCATACGATTATGATAATGCGCAGGTGTGCCGTCATGTTGGAAGTACATATGCATCTGAGTTTGCAGGTTGACTCCTTCAAAAACAAAGGCAAATGCTCGATCAAAGAATTCAAGTATTCTGTACCTGTTAACCTGTTGTCGAAAAACTTCTCTGCCAATAACTCCTCCCTAAACATTCAAGCTCCATTTATTTTGTAAATGTATTTGCGTAACCCAATAAGGGTTTTCCGTCGCATAATAGTGCATGTTATGGCTGCTGACAACACCTATGCTATTAAAAGTTGTCTCATCGCTAAAAAGAACCATATCCAGAAAAGTAGTGTCTTCACTCACTTTATTAAGCATTATTCTACTAAACTCCATTCGGGCTGCGAAATCTTTAGGACGAAGGCCTTGATGCAAGCATAGGTGATATGTATGGTACCTATGCTTGTGAATAATCCTTTGGATAGAAGTTCTGCATATATCAGTTTCTGCTTCAATTTACCATGCACTTAAATGGGGATTTTCCTTCAATTATGATAGAACCACCAACTGATTAGCCTCATTGGTGACTCTGGGATTATTTATACATTTTTTACCATATTCCACTGCTCCACTTCATTCAAAACGTTCCCATAGTGTGGAAAATGTTTCCAGCGAGATGCTAGGAAACTGTTTCTTTGGGCATCGCCCAAAACGAGGACCATATTCACCATTTGTTCTTTAGAAAAATCCATTTTCAAACACGTTTTTATTATGATGCTCACAAAGCTAATTTTGACAGTTTGTAACTAATCAACAATTTATTTGTTTCCAAGGATAATGCGATATCTTAGGGAATTAAGCCGTTTCATAAAAGACGTGCTAATAGCCAAAACATAGCCGTAAAAACCCTGTGTCTAGTATTAAAAAAGCCTATAAAAAATTGAATCCAAACTTGCACAAATATACAGGGTGAAGCACTTGAAATTTTTGAGAAAACGTACAATTTGCGTTTTTGACCACCCTGTATGAGCAAAAATTAAAATTTGAAAAGGTAACAAATAAGATAAAAGCTGAGGTGTGTAGGTTCTTTTTGATACAATATCCAGCACCCCAAATTTTAAAATGGTGGACTGTGGGGTTGCCGAAGTGGAGGGTTTTTTTAGACAAAACACCTTATATCTCAATAGCTAATTACCAAAATCCCATAGTATGTTATATTAGTTTTCTTTTTTTGAATTGTTGTATCCAAATATGTAATAAAATTTGAGTTA